CCATTCAAATGGGAAAAGAACTTCATTATCTCTCACTGCTGTGCAATAAATAACTCTCACAGAAGAGCAGTAAGAGACTGGTCGCTTCTCCTATCTTCATCCCCTGACCTGTCTCAGAGTTGTGAATTCCCAGCCTCTGTCCTGGCACAGTAAGTGACAGCCGGGACTGTGGTTTGGTCACAGCCTCCGTGTCTCACTCTCCTTTTTCCTTCAGCACATCCAAGGGGCAGCTAAACCCTCCCTTCTGAAAAGTCAAAGCACTTTCTTCACTTGCCACACAGTAGCTCCTGTCTCTTGCCATGACCACCTCAAGTTCTCATCCCCGCACTGGCAAAATCAAAAGCGCACAACTTAAACTGTCCTTCAGCCTATGATTATCTCTGGTCAAGTCAAAAACATCTCCAAATTGAACACATAAGCCTTCAGATTTTAATATCTGTCAGTTGCCCCCAAAATCCAGTGGAAAGATCCAAATGCAAAATGTGTTTGGAGAAAAGACATGCTCTGATCTCATGGACAATCAGGGCTGTCTGCATACCTTTGCATTCACATCATCTTCTTTCCTCACTAACACTCTCCTCTTCTTTCCCTTGCACTGAAATATAAAACCATTGCTTCCCACAGATCCATAGTGCATCCTCCCAGAGCGTGTCTTTGCCAGACTGAAGGATTTGGGCCTGTCTTTTCATCACCTGTGAGGGGCCAAAGGTATTTTGGAGCACAGAGACTACAATTTTTGTAAAATTAATTAGAATATTTTAAGTTAGACCGAGTTCAAGTTCCATGATCCACTTTGAGTTTCACTGGGGACCTCTTGACCTAAGAGAGAACAATCATATGAAGAACAGTAAAGTTGAACTCATGGCGTTACATGGAAAGTTTTATGGATGAGAAGTTGTGGATCAAATAACACACTTCATTTCTAGCAAGTCAATAAGAGTCACAGCATAGAGAGTAACAACAGAAGAAAAGCTGAAACATAGAAGGTATGCAATCTGCTAATGTAAGAGAAAAATATAAGCTAATTAAGATATTGATCCCCCCAGGTAATTGCCCCATGAAATTAGAAAGCGTGTCTCTAATTCAAATGAGATGCTTTGCTGACTAAATACTCGGTTCCTTTTGCTCCTCATTGCCACAAGCTGTGGTATCTCAAATGGAATAGGATGAAATCAGTTTTAGACAAATTTGGGAATGTCGTCCTAGAGGGCACAGGCACAACTCCTGTGCGTCCACTTTTACAGGGTCTGCCTGTGTAGGCATATTCAGGAAAATTCACGTGAAATAAGTAAAGATGTGTATTTAAAGCAGATTCCTTTTTTTTTTTTTTTTTTCTGTTTAGCTTATAATTATATGCTTATGTTAAAAATTAAGGTGTTCATCATTCAATTTAGGTTAAATTACTCTGGAATAACAGCATACAGATTATCAACACTAGTTATCAATGTGTGTCCATCTCACAAAGTAAACATGGTTTAACTGTATTTTCATTCAGTGTAAATGCAAATCTGATCTCACGCATCAAAGTATTATTGCCCTAACTCTTTATGTGCAAATATCTAAATTTTATAATTGCTTTTCTTCTAGGACAATATCAGGCAGGTTTTCCTCTAATTACTTTCATAAGATGATGTATAGTAAGGAAGTCCTTCCTCAGTGCTTCATTTCAGTGGGTTGCAGCGAGCAGCTGACCACAAAGCCAGCTGAAAGATGATGAAGCGCGAGAATATTTCAAATTTGAATTACATAATTTATTTAAATAACTACGGGAAAAGGCTGATCTTTTGCCTTCCACTTTGGAAGCAGATGCAGAACATCCTTGGCTTTAAGTTGTGGTCTCTGAATTCTCTAGGTGACTTGAACAGGCTTTGCTCAGTCTCTTTCTCCCTGTTTTTTGATTCCCAACCAGAATTAGGAGTGACGAGGTGATCTTCCTGCGAACACTGGCCTCCAGCTCAGCTGCCCACTCTGCGGGCCGTGCTCGTCACTGTGCTCTGCAAAAGCTACCACGAGTTACCCCAGGCCATTGCTAGGGCTGTTAAACACAGCCACAATAAACCTGTCCTCTGTTGTAACACTCAGTAATTCAATAACGGCATATCCAGGCTGCTCCCAAATTCTTTTACGCTTATAGAATCTGTTCTTGACATAACTATATTGCTACTATATATATATCTTTATATATTTATGACAAACAAATAAATAAATTTACAATAAACATAAATTTGTATGTGAACTAGTTTGCTTCTCTCACGGATGAGCACTATGCGCTGTACGGCTCCCTCCAATATTACATGTCCAGAGTCAATTATAAGCCCTTTACATTTCCCTAGCAGGAAGGTTAAAATTCAATTCTCTTTTATTGCAGTTTGCAAATATAATATACTCTCCAGCTGGCCTGGAAAAGCTCTTCAGTTAAATCATCTTGTGTAATGCTGCTTCTTAGTCTCTGGTACCTCCCTACACAACAACAAACTGACAACCCCACATTTCCAGGGTATTTATTGGTCTGTTCCTAAATGTGATAGTTATTTTACAACATATTTACTTTTTATTGAAATGACCGCATAGGGAGTTTTGGTTGGCGGTTGGTTTTTTGGGGGGTTGAGTGAGGGCACAACTATGCTTTTAAATTTAAACTGTCTCCTAAAGGCTTTGAGTCAATGCTGTCATCCTTTGTGCCTCTCCCCATTAAATCAGTTGCTCAGTTCTTTTTGTTTTCAGGGTTTAAAATACTGTTACTAGCAGAAAGTAAAGTGATGTGTTAGCATAGCAGAGTTTGCTGTGTTATTGAGCTGAGGCAAGGAGCCCAGAAGACTAGAGGAAAATGATCCATTGAAATCTATAATCCCTCCCTCTGCCCCCACCACAGCTCCAGAACATGAGATCATTATGCTTGTTAGAATAACTACTTATCTGCCCATGGCCAGGGCTGGTGTCTACTGGAATGTTAAAAAGGTCCACACCTAATTACTGTGCTGACTCAATTATTTTTGTCCAACTCATGCTTCAAAGAAATCCGTTATAGCTTATCCCCCAACCAAGGAAAGTAAATGGGCTTACTGGAAGGATAAATATACCCTAAAAGGGTGAGAAAGGAATAAAGAGGAGGATTTGAGTGCCTTGTTATAGGGTCCTAGAAAAGCTGGGATCCCTCGGCATGAGTTAAGTGTTTCTGCTACCAAATCTGGCCAGGTTTTCCTGCTTTTCTTCCAACAAGGCTATCGCCTGGCAATCCTGGTTGTTACACCTCCGCATCACTTTGTCTGATTTTCACTGGATACTCCTTGGGACAGGGACTGTGTCTTTTCTGCATTTTAAGAGTTAAGATATATGCACACCTGATACATAATTACTGTATACAACAACCTTAAAATTCAGGGCACCTTTGTTGGTTCTTACTTTCTATGACTCAACAAATTTGTTACCTTGAGGTGCTAAACACAGCTGTGAGCACGAGGGAGAAAAAATAATCAAAAACAACAAAGGTCAGTTTTTCTACTACAGGAGTGTCTTCTCATTTCATAGAAACCCTCTCACGCTGACACCGATATACTGTGTGCTGGTTTCCCCTCTCCTCCGAGATGTTATTTTTGTGAAAGTGCAAACCAACACCTTTCCAGCAACATCTGTCAGCCGGGAAGATTGAGTACCTTTGGCATTTTCACAGGCAGAAATTACAGCCCTGAAAACAATAGGTACAGTACCACCGATGCTGAGGGGTATCATAGAAATTCTGCTGCATTGATACAGAAAGTCCCGAAAAAGGAGAAAAGGAGTCCAGATAATAAAATACTTTCCAAAGGAAACATGTGACATGCTCTTTCTAGACACCTGTCCTTGACTGCCCTTTTTCTGAAGAATCCAGTCAATATTCCCACAAAATTTATTAGCCACACTGTTTTGGTGGCCGGGATTTCCCCACGCTGTCAGAAAGATTCAGCAGCTTCTGGGGATGCTCAAAGCCATTATTGAGGGGGTTAAAGCCTCCTCTCACCAATACGAAGCTGCTGCTATCCTCATGAGGTCTTAATGCAGAGAAACTCTCCCCTGCCCATCCCTTAAGGGGATGAGCGAATCAACACCTTACACAACACCTAGTCTTAAGAAATCTTAATTAACGATTGCTGTGCTGTCTATTGGGGCACCTCGGTGGAGAAAGCATCACATTTTTACCTGCAGGACTGCAATGTGTTTGCTTTCACAAATTTCCCACACATGGTTGGGCACAACGAGCACTGGCAGGTCACAGGAGGCCTGGGAAACAGGTCAGTGCGGCATCGGAATGGGTCTTTTCTCCTGAGAGTCCCTGTGAAGGTCAGGGGTGGAGAGGGCAGCAGACAAACCCGCTCCTCTGTACACCCAACTGGAGCTGGTTAGAGGGAAAACGAGTCAAGTTCCCCCCCAGCTTCCCAAAGGCACAAACAAGATCCTTAATGAGAAATTACTTACTGTGGCTCTTGCTCTTTCTGCCTCTTCATTATTACTGCTCATTATTTCCACCCCGTCGGCATGCCATAGGACCAGTCCCCCCACCATACGGTGGGAGACACCCTACAGGACACAGACAAGGGTGACAGTCCCTCCTTCGAGACTAGGACAGTGCTTGGAGCATGTTACATCTGGGATGATAATCCATGAAGTTTTAGGCTGGCACTTTTTGGCTGTACCCTTTGTGTAAGCAGGGCTGGTACAGAGCTAGGGAAGCCCTCCCCTTCACTTGTACTTCTGAAAAATAGGAGATTAGGTTAAATTGAAAGAGTTTGCTCCTCAACATTTAAAAATGCTTTGCCTTGAATTTGTAATGTAAACTCGACATCTCCCTGAAACATAAAAAATAGCGTTCAGCTGCGAATGCGACTGCAAGTGACAGCAGAGAACAACTTGCACTGTAAGGAACTACGAGGCGCGATGAAGGCATCCCCAGCCCCTTCGCCTTTAAAATGCCATGGAAGCACCGAGGCTTTCGGCAGAACACCTTATCTGCTCTCCAAAGCTGTGACTCTTCATCCTTTCCTTATGAAGACCCGGGGGATTGCTTACTTAGCATACACCGGAGGCAATGGCTAGGGTGAGCAGCCACCGCAGCCAGAAAACCCCAGTCGAGAGCACAGGCAATTACCCTCCACACGCAGAGGCTCCGGAGCTGAATCCTGCTGAATAGAGAACCCCTCTGGCTGAGCGAGCCGTGTGTGCCCGGGAAGAGCAGGCACTTGCTCTCCGCTGAAGAGCAATGCAGTAAGTGACTCGGGGATTGCAGCAGGCACTGCTTCCCAGGATTAATCGGGAGCCGGAGCCTTGCAGCTTGTGCCGGGAGAGAGAGACAACCTCCAGCCCTGGGAGTAGTGTCAGGGCTGCATGATTTTGTTGTTGTTGTTGTTTCTAAAACAAAGTGGAGGGTTGGAGGCATTCTGCACGGTGTGGATGTGTGTGTATTGCAGGGGAGCGCTGGCTGGACTAGTGCTGTTGGGTTTGGGGCTTTTCTCTGTAGTCATGTTCGCCAGTGTTTAAACAGAGAGGGTGCTTAATAACTTAATGTCAGCCTACGCTTGTGTGCTCTTTCTTAATTACACAGCGTGCCGCCTGTGCTCGAGTGCAAACTATTTTCTGTCCTATCACTCTGATGCTGGATGTGCTGTGCCACGGGGTAATGATAATTGTAGATTGCAACTGTGTGAACGAGCACCTTGATGATGAGCAATACTTTTATTTGACTTCAGCAGATATGGCTAATTTCTACTTTGAGGTACATACTTCAATGGGGTCTGAAATTGCAGGTGCTTTTTCGTAGATAAATGTTCATAAGCAGTACTTTATCTTAGCATAGCTGTGGTTTTCTTCTGATTCAGATGTTCTGTTTCTGTAGTCTGCAATAACAGCTCTCTATTTGTACTGGGTAGGAGAGGAAAGCATGATTTAAAGTTTGGTTTATAAGAAGGGGGAATTTTGCACAGTTTGAAAGTGTTTGCAAAAATTATAGTATGAGCAATAATTGCAGGCCTTTGGAAGAAACTCTGTGCAGCATTTAAAGCAAATTTGACTATGCAGTTTTCGTTCTGTTAATTTAGGGACTAATACTAAGCTGTATTCATCTTGTTTCTTGCTACAGCATTCTCAATGACTTATGAGGCTCTGCCTTGAGAATAACTGCCATTTTGGGCTTCAGGCACATTTAACTCTTTAAGGCAACACATGTTAAATTTTTTAGAGAGCAGTGCCTGCAAGTGCCAAAAGTCAGGGATTCTTTTCTTGCTGTTCAGTCAAATGTCAACATTAAATAGCCATCGATCTCTCGTAAAGGAGCACTAATGAAATCAGTCTATAATTTTCCAACTCAATTTTTGTTGAGGCTTATTTAGTTATCGTAAACTATTGGGACACATATAGGAAGTCTTTACACAATGAAGAAAAAATTTCCTCTTGGGTTTGTCTGTCATTTTAGTTTTGAGCAAAATTCGTAGTGTGCCTTTATTGGAAGGGATAATTCTCAGAAATTTCCCAAATGAAGTTCAGTTTCTGCTGAAAGAGTTTTTGCAGGGATGCTGCTAAAGGTGTGTGCAATGTTTAGTCCCAGGCACAGCTAATGACACTGAGAAATACCCTGGAAGTTACCGCACCTCTCCACTCATGCAACATGCATGTCTTGGAGACCCTTCTCCTTAAGATTGGTACTCAGGTGCTTATAATGACTATTTCCTCCAACACTGCAGTCAAGACAATTTTGTCCTTTTTGCCTAAGAGAACCCTTGTGACATATGGTACTACTGAGTTGCAATCGTTAAGATAATGAACAATTAATAAGCAATAATTATTCTTCATTAGCTGTACAATTTGAAGATGGACAAATCTACGAGGAGGGGGAAACACATCTGAATCTGATCTGCTCCCCTCCCCCCTTTCCCGCCTATCCTGACTTCTCCTTTTCTGTTTATGAGCACTTGGTCGTCATTATAATTGAATTTGTTATACTTGAACCAAAGATCAGTGCAATTTTCCCAGTAATGGGTTCAAGATCAGTGTGTATTTCACCTGTCCCCGTTTTTTCCATCTAGATATCCAGCAAAGCCAATAATGAATTTGGAGGATATGAAGATTTATTATAAAATATCTCTGAATGAGCATTATAAGCCTAGTATTGATTTATCTATCAGGAGGAAATAGCAGGAATTTCACCTGTAATTAAAATGTACTCAGAACACACAGTTTTGATGACATTATCATCAGACATTTTCAGGTAAACTAATTCTGGTAATTTAACAGGCTACTGTTTGCAAATTATTTCCTCCGAGGAACAAAGTGGGGGGAGGGAAAGAAATGCAAGTAAGAGTTGATGTTGGAAAGACACTAGATTCATAATGAGAATTACCAGATGAATAGAAAGATTATAGCTGGTTTTATGCCTTCATGCAATTCTGAGTCTCTAATCAAAATGTGTTTCCTGAACAGGAACCCTAGAATTATTTGCCAGATATTATTGTTCATGTCAAATTTAAAATGGAGAACATTAGGTATAAAATCTAATTTCTCAGCGGTCTAGAATAAGTATATTAGTAAACAAATGTTCTCACTTCTTCATCCTGTCTTTTAAGTAATCCTGGCAGGAGCCTTGCCTCATAAGTCAAGTTCACTTTATTGCATTGTAATCTTAGAGAGAGACACGCAAAGGGAAGTTTACTGATTTTATCCTGCATTGCCAGTAATGAGTTGCAAGTCAATTTAATTAATAGTAGTTGCTCAACATTTGTCGTCACCTAAACTACTTTAATTTCCATCATTATATCTCTACCACTTTGTCATTTGCAGAAGCACTGATGTTCCCTTACGATCTGAAATATGGCTGCACTGGCTTGTCACTTAAGTGCCAGAGGCAAAAGTGCTGGTACAAAAACTGTATAAAGCAATAAATATGCTCCCTAATTTCAAAGCACAGTGAAAATGTGTGTCATAGTTGCACCAGGAACCAATGGCGTAGACAATGTTACATTAGAAGATGCGACGTTCAGCACAACCTCAAAGAAAGAAGCGTAGCTGTATTCATACAAGAGTAGAGAATTTTTGTACCATACTTAGTAGAGATGTCACATTTATGAAGAAAAATATCTTACAGCTAGTGACGTCCAAAAGTGCCATATACATAGCCAGTAGTTTCTTTCTAGCTACAAAAGGAAGGACATTTTCTTTCTTTTCTGTTATTCAAGGGTAGACTTTCTGATAGTGTCAACTACTTAGATATGCTGCATAATAATTATTTTATTCATATGTATGAAAGCAGATCTCTTAGAATCTTCATTATACATATCTACTGTAAGCATCAAGATTGAATTCAATTGGAATTTTAAAAAAATTTCAAATATATGCATAGACAATCCATTTTCAACAACAAAATGAATGTGCTACTACTTGCTACTATCACTTCTTACCAAGGGCAATTGCTTAATGCTCTGGTAATGCTACAATTCAGAATATTTTCATTACCACAGGGACTATCTTCACTTTCCACATCCACACAAGCTCCCACAACCTACTGTGCATAGGGCAGCAGAGCAGTAGCATTCAAGGAGGATTAAAGGACTAAGGTTGAGTACTTCCTAAATACTGCTGCCTGAGCTGTTGTTTTAAGCAGAAGCAAAAATAACGTACTTGGCTCTTCCAAATACTGTTCAAAAGGTATAGTTACGTACTCAAAAAAAATCCAGAATTTGAAAGATCATGTCCTACGTTTTGTAAAGCATCTTCAGAGTGCACCTGGAAGACAGTTTGACCTTCAAAAGATAAGGAGGAGCTGGTCCATGATTCCTCCACCTTACATACCCGTTCTCTAAAGCTGTCATCTGGCTCTCTGGAATACTGGAATACTACTTAATACACTGAACTTTAAAATAAGGCTGTGAAAGTATATATCCTAATAAACTTGATGATCAGTGATAGACTGCAAATCAGATATCTGATATGCACTGAAACATCTGGAGGAAACTCCAAATGCTGTGTGCTCAGTTCTGAATCTTAATGAGTAATTGCATGGAACCTTTAATGATCTTTTCACCCCTTTTCAACATAAATACAAAGGAAACAAAATGTGAACTGAACAAGGGTTTGCTTGAACAATGGCTGCAGAAAAACACACCTTTTCTCAGCATTATTTTAGCATTTAAATTTCAAATCTATTTTGTCTAGCCCTGGCGAGACTAAGCCTCTGGGGGTCCTATCCACAGATATCCTGAATTCAGAGTAGTCAGCCAGAGAGATTCCTAGACAGGAAGAACATCATATCCCCAGTGTCAGTCAGTACTTTGTTCAGAGGGAAAGATGGGGAAACGAGACAGAAGGTTGCTGAAAACACAGATGCTCACATTTCTTCTGCTAGAAACAGAAAAGGGATTTATTTCTTTTTATCATAAATCATAGGTTTTCTCTTATTGCTTTGCTTTAGACTTTCAATCAGTGCTGATGGCTGTAAAGAATGACATGCTCAAGCAAATCAAAATTATCTGGGGGAAAAGCCTCCCCTTTCTCTCCCTGCCCCATCTGATTGATTTCATGATTACTGCAGAATTTGCTGCACCACACATTCATAAACTGGTCCAAAGTAGCTGATGCCACCCATCCAATTTTTGTTTTCATATTCAAATTCAAGCTCCCACTCCCTCTGTCAGCATCACCAATATATCTATGACTTCTTACCAAATGACCGTATCACACCATATGCTGCAGAATTGTTCTGGATTTTCACCAGCTTAGTTTAAGATTCAGCCCTCAGTCTGAGCATAATTCAGCTAGGAGGAGGTATAGTAATAGATCATTTTTTTCCACCTCACTTGGAGGCATTAACTGTTTGTCATGTTGAGTCTTGGCATATTGATTCCTTTACCTCCACTGTAAAAATGGAACATCTGGTCAGTGGGGTGACCCAAGTCGTTTTGCAATCCTCGTGCCTTCTTTATCAGGGAAATCAGGGGGAAGAACGTGGCATGTCAATACACCAGAGTGGCTGAGCAGGGCTTGCTCGCATTCAACAGTGATTTTTATATAGCCTGGTGGGAGCCATGAGCCCCATCAGAGACTATGAACAACTGCAGGACTGAAGAGAAGAGGAAGCCTTAGCCTTCATCACAGAAGGAGCCAATTTTTATCAGCAAGAGCTTGTCAGGAAAGTGTCTCCCATTATTAGAAGCCCCGGTAATGACAAATCCTAGCTACTTACAGTCATGAAACTTGTATAATCCAAAACAAAAAGATGG